TTCTTCTTGATTAGCGGAAAAAATTCCTGAACCTGTCAGAGGGAAGGAAGGTCTTTTCTGTCTGTCTCTCTCTTTCTCTCTTCTCGGCCAATTAGTGAAATACAAACAATTTCCATCCTCACGGTGAAACACTTTTTCCACCTAAATAACACCTCTGCAGGCTTTAAAGGTGCAGGCCCCCTTGCACAGGCCCCCCTGCCCCGAGAGATGCCCTCCTGGGGCCACACCGGCGCGGGATGGTGGTGGCTGTTCCCCATCCTGCTTTACCCGGACACATGCAGCCAGCCCAGGGCTTGGGGCAATGCGGGCACCTCACACAGGCACTGCCCACGGCTTTTCCTTGCAGACATCAAGCCAGCGTGTGCCGGGTCACGGCAAACCTCCCTGCCCTCCTGCTAACGCCCCGGCATGCCCAAATGTCAGCTCTCCTGAGTGCCCCACCAACACGCCGATGTCCATGAAGCCTGCCGGCATCCTCAGCTGAGGCCTGGGGAGCGGTGAAATCCCCTCCACGGAGGCGGCCGTCCCCAGGACCTCCTCCGCACTCAGCTGCATACACCTGGCTGAGCTCCACTGCCCCCTGTGCAGCCCTGCCTGCTCTGGGGGACCCCAGCCCCTGCCCGCTGGAGGAGAGAGAGAGCATCCCACCTGCCATGCGCACTGCAGAGTGCCTCCTTACAGCTGCCTGCCTAATTTAGGCAGCCAAAGCACTCGTGCAGGTGCATGGTGTGGTTCACGTGACCCCATGTGTGTATACGAGGCTGTCCGTGCGCCACACCCTCATGGGGCAACATCCGACGTCACCAGGGGAGAAGATCACCTATGGGGCATCCAGAGCCCTCTGGCCAGCCATCTCCTGGGTGCCCTGGGCTGCTACTGGGCATGCGTGTCTCAGTAAGGGCTTCTCTCCTGGAGCACACCTTGGTTCATTAATCACCGCTTTTCCTGCTCTGACCTCATTTGATTTGTCTCTGACGTCATCGCTTGCAGCCAGCTCTGCACTGTGGGGACCAGCAGTAGCTAACACCTTCTCCTCTGCTCTTCCCCAGGTCTGTGCCAAGATTCGTACTGAAAAGTAGTTTCTCTTCATGCAGAAAACACCTGAGCAGGGCCTGGGTTTGGGGAGCAGAGCTTGCTTTCACTGACTGCATCGGCCAGCGGTGGCCAGGGCTGAAGGTCAGGGCATTTGGGAACTTGGGAGTTTCCAAAGCTGCCGGGGCAAGAACTGCAGTGGAGCTGCTTGCCCGGCACCTCTGTGCCATCCATCCTTTGTTTTTGCAGCACGTGCAGGGAAAAAAAGAAAAAAAAAAATCACAGCAAACATTTCGAAATGCGCATTGACTGTCAAGCCACAAACCTCCCTGCTGCCCGGGTCCCCGCCGTGTTTGGGTTGCGGCTTAATTGCTTGCAAACAGCTTCTTTTATTGAATTAGTAATTACAAGGGAGTTGTTTCCCTCGAGGCTGCTTTCCTCCCGGCTTCGCCACGGCCTTTGCTGTGAACCCAAGGCAGTCCATCGTGCCAGAGAGTCCCGTTTGGTATCTGCCTGGCTGGGGGAGGAAAAAGGGTGGGTGAGCCCTGCCATAATTTTATATTTTGACCTCTTCGCCCTCCTGGCTCCTCTGCCGAGAGCCCCACAGACCCACTGCTGTGGCTGGGGGTCTCGCATTAACCCAGTGCCTGCACCACTTGCAGGGAGGCCCCGGCATTTGGGGTTTCTTCTGCTTCCCACCCTCTTTCTGCTCATTTTGGGGGGGGGCTCTGTTGTTCCTTTAACCCTGTGATGAAAGCTGAAAACAGCCGAGGCTGCCTGGCTTCCTCGCAATGTCTTTTAAGATGGGAAATTCCCAAGACTGCAATGAGTTCATTTGGTCACAGACAGATCACAGCTCGGGTGGGGCCAGCACCGTTTGGTCACAGGCTGCATGAAGGCGAGTGGGGAACAGCTGCGCTCAGGCGAGGGTTTTTTGTTGTTTCTTTTTCCTAAATAGCTTTTAATTCTTCATATTCTCCTCCCTCTTTGTACACTGCTTTTCCCTTGGCACAGCCGGCTTCTCCACCCCCAGGGCCCACCAGGCATTAGTGCATGGACAGTGAGACGGGGTCACCCTCCGACACATCCCCGTCCCACCACAGGATTCCGCGGGATGGCAACGGCTCCCACCGAGCCCTCTCCCAGCCGTGTCCGGAGCGTGGGCAGGTCAGGCAGCAGGACAGGGTGGCCATCGTGGGGGGCACGGCTTATGCCAGGGAGGTGTGAGCCCAGCGCAGGGAGGGGAATGCCTGTGTGGGCTTCATGCCACATGGCTGGGCTGAAGAAGGCTCTTCCTTCGAGCCACAACGAGGCGTGGGGGCAAGCTTCAGCTGTTTGCATTCCTGAGCGCCAATAAAATAAGCAAACAGTCAAGGGTTTTCTTGGGCCCGGCGAGGAAACTCTTGCAAACTGATTTTTCATTTCATTTAGCTATGTGACACCTTTAGCGTTGCAAACCCTCAACGGTAAAAAACCTGAAGCCTGGCTTTAAAACTTGCCTTGCTTTTTGCACCTGAATAGCCCATGAGTTTGCTCTCCCATCTGCCTGCCGCTTTCAGGAGCCGTGTTCTCACAGGAGGACCCATCGCCGAAGCATTTCTGCCGCCTCAAAGGCTGGATGCGTTTCCTCCAGCAAAAGCTGAACCTCCCATTGAATGACATATCCCGAGGCTGAGCCTTTAGGTAAAGCAGCAGTTGAGCAATTAAACCAGGGAGAGTTGCCAAGGCTCCTCAGCTCCTCCGAGATCACCTGTAGCACCGGGTGAGCCAAGCTGGCACCCCCACGCGGAGGAGATGCTTTCCGGCGGCATGCTGCAGCCCTCCCGGGGCTTATTTCGGGATTTATTTCCCGAGCTCGGCTTTGCGGGGTGGATGTAAACCACCTGCTCCAGCCTTGAGAAGCGCCCGCCTTCCTGCGCCCCACGCTGACCTGTGCTGAATGCGTGCCAAGGTGCTGCGAGCAAACGGCGTTCAAGCGAGCGCCCGAGCAGCTGCCGCAAGCGGACGCCAGATGCTCAGAGGTGTTAGCTCCAGGCGCCCCGGGCCCGCGGCTTCTTTCAGCACCTATTCATTTTGAGCTGTTAAAAGCAGAGGCGCACGCTTGTGGATGGGGTTGCACGCCTCCCCTGGGGCCGCCGTGGCCAGGTGGTGTGCCGGCCCCCTGGGATGCCAAGCCCTTCCTCCCACCCCGGGTCCAGGATGATGCACCCGTGCTTCCTGTGCCTTGTACCCCTCTTTGCGCTCATTGCTCCCCAAATTCCCTGCTGACAGGCCCTCAAGTCCAAAGGAGTCTCACGCCAGAAATCTTTCTTCTCACCAGATTATCCTAAGGAAATCAGAGCAGGGATGTGATTATTATCCTTGCCGTGATTTTGCCTGTGCTTTCCATCCTTGGGGGCGGATAGAGCTCACCCCTACTGCAGCTCCCTTTGGAGGATCAGGGAAAACGTGTCCTCATCCCAAAATGAACCACGCTGGAGGGAAGCACACACCTGGGAGGGAGCGCCAGGCTTGTCCTCCAAGGACAGCCTGGAGCACTCCCAGACACTGAGCTCCCCGTGTTCACCGTTGCAGCACAAGTCCCCACTTGTGTCTACGCTCCTCAGAGCTGAGCCATGGACTGGGGGTGCTGTGCGCGTGCCGGGGGGACCCCAAAATTGAGGCACGGGGCAGCAGCTGCCTTTGCTCCCCGTGGCCTTGCGCCCAAGTGCCAGATGTGCGATACGTCCCTTGCTGGGAGGAAAGGGAAACGCAATGGCCTTTCCGACCGAGGGAAGGACCGCCGTTGTCTAGACGATGTGACTAAGGAGGGAAGGGGCCGACTGTTTGTACAGCTTCGGGGAGTGTAAACAGTGCCGACTGTCTCAAGCCCTTCAAAGCAGAGGAATCCGGAGATCGGATGAAAGCGCAGGGAAATTCTGGCCGGGTGTCCGAACAGAGCAGCTAAGGAGAAGGGGACCTCTTCGAGACAAAATCCCCAGCGCCTGAGTCATTTCAAACCAGCCCGAGTGCCGGGCGACAGGCGGGAAGGAGGAGCGCAGCACCGCCGGCCGTGGGCAAGGCTGG